CTTCGGAGAATAGACTAATACATAATTCGACCTCGACAGTTTGGATAATGATTTTAGACTAACAAATAAATATAAAATCAAGACTCAGCACTTTAGGTTTTAATTTATTATGTGTTTTAATCTGCTATGTGTTTTATTTGCTCATATGTTTGATGTTTTTTTAGTTTAATAGGGTATGTTTTTTGTTATATTGGTTTTATTTTTATGTCTATGATGCGGCACTGAATGTTTGCCAGAGTTTGTAAGCCACATTGAGTCCCCTGCGGGGTGAGAAAGGTGGGGTATAAATAAAGTAAATAAATAAACAACGCATTATGATTCTGCTAAACTGATCAGTGTCTGTAAGTATTGGAAGTGAAATTGGGGCACTTTAAAAGTAGCTAGCTTGTCCAGTTAAAATATAATGGGCTTCTGCTGAGTCACTTCCAGAACATAATGGCATACAAAAAAATCAGTTATATCATAGAATATTAACACCCACACCCATATATACACCATATATACACAGAGAGAACATTCTTGTGCTCATAGCAGTTCATAACATCCCAAGGGACATATTAGGTTTGATAATATGCCAGCACGTTTGGGTGGTGTATTTTTCTTTTTCATACTTACCAGAAACCTCTTCCCTAAAATGCTTCTGTTTGGGACTTACAGTTCTGGATTTGATCTGTTATGCTTTATGCACAGTGGAAACCAAGAAGATGTTATTTTTCTAGCTCATCCCCAAGCCTCTTCATACATTATTGTAACCTGCTACTTAAAGGCTATTTGCCTTCTGTCCAGACCTGTTGTTATTTCCACAGATGTGGAAATAACATCTTCTACTTATCATCTAAACAATTACCATTTCAAGGGTCGTAATTATTGGTCTTAATATTGTCATGGCTTGCTATGCTAGTCCCTGAAGTCTATTTATCAGGGAGTGAAGGAAGGTGAACATCAGTAGGCTTTTGCTTTAGATCTCTCTGGGTGATTCTGACCTCAATTCTGACTATACTGCCATATACCAGCAGGACTCCTCATCTCGGCTGTTGAATCCAGTACAATTACCTCCCATAAAGAAGGTAACCCTGAAATTGACCTCTGCCAGGAGAACTTGTGAAACCCATCTCAGCTATTAGATTCAGATTATGATATTAGTTCCTCTTCAACTTGTCCGATTTAGATCATCACACATCTCTGGTCTTTTTCATTAGAGAGATGGGTTCAGACTTGTCCTATTCAGGTCATTGCAAGTCAGAGCCTTCATGAATCAATGTTCAAATGTTCACAGAGACTACGAAGAAGGACAAGTTGCTTACCTATAACTGTGGTTCATTGAGTAAATGTCTGTAACCCTGCCCATTCTCCCCTTGTATATATTTTTTGGACAGCTCTAGGTTTAATTCTATTTTGGTGTTTGCTGTCTTCAGGTTTTAAATTTCATATTGTAGTACTGTTTGCCACTTTAAGTCTCTTTACAAGAGGACAAGCTGCATCTAAATAAATATAATATTTTTTTAATTTTAGGATGCCATGGATTGTAAAGTGCACACTGATTTCAGTACCCCCAATTGCGTATGTGTGCGCGTGTGCGTGTATCCCACTATTCTAAGATGTATCCCAGTTTTAGATATGTTTATATGGAGGGGGTGTGTGAGTCTTTGGATTTCATCAGACAGGCAGAATTGCCTGTCCTATGACACTTGTACCTCTCTTCATGCACAGAGTCCACCGGGTCCTATCACATGACTTAGATTTACTTCCGGTAGCTCTTTGTCCCTGAAGAGAGGTACAAGTGTTGCAATAGGCAGCGATGTTAATGAGGAAGGCTTGGATGAGATGAAGGGCAGGGTGGGGTGTCCTGCTGCCCCGCGGATTAACCACAGAAGCTGGCCGATCGCCCTGCTGCTCCTCATCAATGTGATGAGGTCCTTAGAATCAAAGAAATATGTCAACAATAATAATTGTGTCCTGTCTTTCTTATCTCCTTGGGCTGCTGGTTTTGGCAACCTATCCTTTTTAATTTCCAGCACACTCTGGCACATTCAAATCAACATATACTGTATGTGTGTTGATGGACTGTTCACGGGATTAGATATGTTTTTCAGGATCTCACGGAACAGTTTAACCTCATACTCTACTCATACTGTAATTACTGATGTTCTGAAGTAGCTTACATTCCTTATTGTAATCTGCCATATAAATGAAACCTTACTATTTATACCATGGAGAATAAATAGAATAAATCAGTGTTCATGCTTATCAACATACATGATATTTTGTTCTAAGCATAAGAATAACGAGAGAGGGAACCTTCTCCATGAACACTTCCCATCTCTGGAACTCCCTCCCTAAAGAAGTAAAAATGGCCCCTACCCTCCTCTCCTTTAAGAAACTTCAAAAAACGCACCTATGCTCTTCAGCGTGTGGAGAGGAGGGAGGACTAAGACACTTTAACTACTTGGAATGCTGGCTAGTCCCACTTGTACTATATGGCTGCCATGATACATTTTAAATGAAGCCTAGTTCCAGCCATTTTAATATAACTGTATTTTACATTGCTTTCAGGGGATTTGTTGTAATGTTTACTTATGTTTTAGTTAACTACGTCTTATTGGATTGTTTTGTTTTATTTTTTATCACAATGCTTAATTCTTTATCATAAGTTTACTGTTACTACTGTGCTTTATTGTGTGTTGTTTTGATATGTTTGTACTCACCTGAATCATTGAACTCTTGCCTTTGTGTGTGTGTGTATAAACTGCCCTAAGTCAATTTGGGGAGAGAAAGAGGTCTAGAAATAAAGATTATTATTATTATTATTATTATTATTATTATATTTATTGTAAGAAGAATCTGAAGCACATTAAGTGCTATCTGACTCAAACCATATGCCTAAACCATACCCCCAAAGGTTAATGAGATAAGAAGCATCATAGTTTGGTGCAACAGGCTTGGTTTCTTAAGAATAAAAGAAAGGGGAAAAGAAAGAAAAAGAGCAGAGATTGTAACTGTCATATATCTAGATGATGTTCATAACTTATTTTGCAAATACTCTTTCCAATGTAAAAATTGCTAACAAATTTCCTTGAATTCTATTAACACTTAACATTGCTTTCTATTTATCTTGGGAATCTTTTTAAACTTTTAATTTGTTTTAATGGTTTTTAACTGGGAATTTTTAATACTGTTTATATTTAATCCTGTTTGAATATTTGTATATTTTAAATGGCTATGCTGATGCTTTCATGTTAAGCCGCTTTGAGTCCCCTTCAGGGGAGATAAAGCGGGGTATTTATTATTATTATTATTATTATTATTATTATTATTATTATCACAATTAAAAACATGAGCATTTCAATATATATATATATATATAAATCAACATTAAAACTACATTTCTGTAAAAGACATGTTAAACCACAAAAAAACAAAGGACATGAGTTTTTGATTTATAGTTAAAAACTATCTTGGTGGGCCTGCCAGATGAGATGTGACTTTAGATGGTCTTTAAAATCTGACAGCTGATCTAGCTGTTGCAGATCTACCAGTAAGTCATTCTGGAGTCTTGAGGTGGCTGATGAAAAGGTCCTCTGGGTAGTAGTCGCCAGTCAGGTTCTGGGAGGCTGGAGGAGAATTTCCCAGAGGACCCAAGTGTTTGGGACGAATCGTGCAGGAGAAGTCATTCTGAAGATAACATGGACCCAAACCATGTAGGGCTGTAAAGGTCAAAAGCAACATCTTGTACTTTGCCCAGAAACTAATTGGCAGCCAATGGAGTGACATTAGGATAAGTGTAATATGCTCAGTCTTAGATGTTCCTATAGCCAATCTATTACATGTGTTATAGAATCCAGATTGCAGTATGCTTTTCATATAGGAACATCATACTATGAGAGCCAATGTGATATAGTGGACTGAATGTTGGATTACGACTCTAGAGACCAGGGGTGCATGTACATGGATAATATGATGACGTTTAACACCACTTAAATTGCCGTAGAATCATGGATGTTGTAGTTTGGTGAAGCACCATCACTCTTTAACAGTGAAGGCTAAAGACCTTGTCTGCCTAGAAAAACTGCGATAGGTTCATCTAAAGGTCGCTGTAAGTTGGAACTGATTTGAAGACACACAGTAACACCAAGTTCACATAATTGATTTGTGGCAACTGGATATTAGGCAAATGTAACAGAAATATATATGGCCAAAGTACTATCAGGTGTTTTGGGATGTTGCTTTGTTTTAATGAGTAAGGGGCTACCCATTGAGATGGCAGTTTAGGAAACCATGCAACTTTTGTTTGTCAATGCCCCATACCTATTTTGACTTCACTATGCCAGATGACTGAATGAAAGATTGCCAAGTATGGCTCTTTGGGAATGATTCTACCTTATGCTGTATCACATTGCTGAGGAAATCAACTTGGGAAGAGGCTTATCTTTTGTTGCATAGCTGCTCCTGGGATACTAACAATCAACTGGTCTGGAGATAGGCTGAGTATGAGAAAAGTCACTCATGCTCTACCTCTGCACTGTTTGGAAGAATCTGTTGTTCAATTAATGTGGTTCTTCCCTCACTCATGTCTCTTTTTCACAATGAATTTATTAGTCAAACTGCATTTTCATTCACACATAAATCTCTATTCTCCCTAAAGATATTGTATACACTAGAATAGGATTGTCCCACACAATACTGTTGTGTGTGAATTGGTGTGATAAAATAATAGAACAGTAAAGTTCCTTTTATTATTTTAAATAGATTATGTACCAAGGCAAAGTTTTCATATACACTTGTAAAGTGGTGTGTGTGAGTGTAGTAGTATATGTATGTGTAGAGGTAACTTGATTTCTGTTTGAAATCCACTTCAGTATATCTGATGCTACCTAACACATGTGTGAAAGGTATGTTATACTCTCATGATAACTGTGTTCTCAACTGTTACTAAATTGGAAAACTGCATACTAAAAATCTGATCATTTATTTTAAAATGTTTTAACTTTTGTTTTTGTTAGGTTTTGAAAGTATTTTAGAAGGGCTTTATGGACCAAGGCTACGAAGAGACCTCAGTTTATTTGAAGGTAAACAATTATTTGAAATGTTTTAAATCTATTTTTTTTAAATTATAAGACACCTTAAAAGTGCTCTTCTGAACACTAAGGGATTTTGCTGTTGCATTTTATTATAAAGATAGCTTGGATACCCGGCAATGCCTGTGTTTTTTGAAAAAAATATTGTTTGTTTTTGGATGTTAGGGAATATCAGTTTGGTAATTTTTAACGCTATTTATTAGGGAAAAAAAGTCTGTCTTTGCTTTTGTTTTATTATGATTGCTCCCATTGGAAAATGCATAAGGATGTGGGTGAACTACAATTCCCAAAATTGTGGTTCAGTCCTCCCCAAATCCCCCCTGTATTCATAGTTGGCCATGTTGGGTTTGTGTGCAAAGTTTAGACCAGATCCATCATCTGGGTTCAGTGTTCTCTGGATGCGGGTGAACTACAGCTCCCGCAATTCAAGGTCAGACACTGCCAAATCTCCGCCAGTATTCAAAGCTGTTCATGTTGGGTCTCTGTGCCAAGTTTGGTCCAGATCTGTCATCGTCTGGGTTCAGTGCTCTCTGGATGCAGGTGAACTATAACTTCCAGAATCTAAGGCCAATCACTTCCAAACCCCCACCAGTTGGCCATATTGGGTCTGTGTGCCAAGTTTGGTCCAGATCCATCATCGGCTGGTTCTGGATTCAGGTGAACTACAGTTTCAAAAATGCAAGGTCATTCGTGCCCCCCAGCTCCTCCAGTATGTTCAGTTGGTCATTGGATTTTTGTGCCAAGTTTGATCCAGGTCCATTGTCGGTGGGGGTCATACTTTCTTTGGATATGGGTGAACGACATCTCCCAGAAATCAAGGTCATTTCCCCCCAAACCCCTCAAGTATGTTCAGTTGGTCATGGGGGGTTCTCTGTGCCAAGAATGGTCTAGATCTGTCATCAGTGGGGTCTCAGTGGTCTCTGGAGGCAGGTGAAGGTACTTCAGATCCCATCATCTGTGGTCTATCCTTCCCCAAATCTCACTAGGACGTAAAGTGCTTCATGGGGGGGGGGGGTCCGTGTTTGTCATTAGTGGGGATCACAGTGGTCTGTGGAAGTATGAGCCCCATCCAGAAAAAACATCGCCTAGCCCAGTGCTTCTCAACCTTGGGTCCCCAGATGTTTTTGGCCTACAACTCCCAGAAATCCAAGCCAGTTTACCAGCTGTTAGGATTTCTGGGAATTGTAGGCCAAAAACATCTGGGGACCCCAGGTTGAGAACCACTGGCCTAGCCAGATACATCATATGAACCTACGAACACTGACTTTTACTATATGGAAGATAGATAGATTGTCTGTTGCTGTTTGTCATGGCAGAAACTTTTGTTTTCATTTACACGTCTCCAGAGTATAACTGGCAATTAAAAGAAGATAGTTCATCTATTAGTGAAGTATCTTCTTTTAATTGCCAGTTATACTTGTGGCAAGAAAACTAGGAATACTTCGTCTATTCCAAATCTATTAGTGAAGTTTTGGAATAGACGAAGTATTCCTAGTTTTCTTGCCACATGGAACATTTCATATACATTGCTGACTTTGATTGTCTTATAAAAGGAAAGTCAGTGTTCTTCATGAACCAAATTTTCATATACACGAGAACAGTAATATTTTTGCACCATCTACTGTCAGATCTGAAAAACGTTTCATGTTTCTAAATCATGTGCAAATGTATCTTTTTGTTCAAAATGATATAATCAGTTAACAAATTTCAAAAAATGAAAAATAAAATTCCTTTTAAGGAATTGGCTTGATTGATAAAGGACAGTTACCTGATCAGAAGAGTCAAATGGCAAATCGACTTCAGAGTTGCATGTAGGAGACAAATATTACAATAGTTAAAGCACCCAATAGAGGGGGAAAACCTGTGAATACATGAAAATTCAAGGCGATAGTATCTTTCTACTTGACAATTTTCAGGGATGTTGTACTTCCACCATTGCACCCCTGTGTTACAGTCAATGGAGTTGAATTACTGTAGCAACTAGTTTTCTTGCCACATGGAACATTTCATATACATTGCTGACTTTGATTGTCTTATAAAAGGAAAGTCAGTGTTCTTCATAAACCAAATTTTCATATACACGAGAACAGTAATATTTTTGCACCATCTACTGTCAGATCTGAAAAACGTTTCATGTTTCTAAATCATGTGCAAATGTATCTTTTTGTTCAAAATGATATAATCAGTTAACAAATTTCAAAAAATGAAAAATAAAATTCCTTTTAAGGAATTGGCTTGATTGATAAAGGACAGTTACCTGATCAGAAGAGTCAAATGGCAAATCGACTTCAGAGTTGCATGTAGGAGACAAATATTACAATAGTTAAAGCACCCAATAGAGGGGGAAAACCTGTGAATACATGAAAATTCAAGGCGATAGTATCTTTCTACTTGACAATTTTCAGGGATGTTGTACTTCCACCATTGCACCCCTGTGTTACAGTCAATGGAGTTGAATTACTGTAGCAACTACATTTGTGGATACCTGCAATTGGCATGTTAATTGTAGAATATGTACTTCAGTTGCATAAGTAACATGTTGACTGATAGGGTCACAATTTTGTGGGAACAGCCCCCTGTCTTCTTCTCTAAACAGCAGCTGGGAAGGAGAAATCTTACTCAGTCATAATAGAACTCTCTGTACCTTAGAATGCACTGGGACATGATTTTCTAGAATTTGAAGTCATTCAGCTGGTGTTGGCAAGATCATCCTACCTTCTGAAAGTAGGAGGGTGTTTCTCATAGTGGAATGGTGAGATCTAAAAAGGTGCGCCCTGATCTGAAAATAAGACACCTAAAAAATATATGCATTGGCCCATTGTGATAATTTCACAGTGTAGATTCCAGTAGTTGTGTATGTGTTGGGAGACTGACATTTTTGCTGTTTTGTCTTTTAGTCCACAGTCTAGATAAATTTTTAGCTGGTCATACCTCAACAGGTACAAAATAAGTGGTAGACTTCTAATAACTATGTAATTTAATTTGTTATACAATTTATACAAAATTTATCCAGGGCTAGTGTTTACATACAGCAAACTGAAACAGTACTGGCAGGAAAATACAAAGCCATTCACGCTTCTTTTTGAAACTTCAAGGTACTACAGGAAAAACAGTGTTGAGAATACTTTTTAGTTGTTATTTTTTTTTAAAAAAAATCCTCAAAAAAGAAAAATTGTGGGAGGAGCCATATCATTATATGTTTAGACTTTGGGCCTCATCACACTTGAGCATTTTTCTACTTTAATCCACTTTCTGGGACTTGGACTTTAGGGAGGCCCACAGCTTCTCTGCATGAGCAGTTTAAAGGTTCCTCCCTAAACTACAAACTCTAGAATTCTTCAAGAGGCAGTCACAGCAGAATTCTGGTGTTTGTAGATTAGGGAGGAGCATGTAAACCATTTATTCAGAGAAGCCCTGGGCCTCCCTAGACTACAAGCCCCAGAATTCAGCAGTCACAGCATTTAAAGTAGATTAAAGTGGGAAAATGTTCAAGTGTGATGTGGCCCCCAATTAGTGCATGCTCATGTTATCATTTATTTTATTTTATTGATAAAAATTCAGGCGCTTGATTTTGGAAAGAAGCAAGTTGTTTCACTGTTCTTCACCTTTACCCTAGTGATTATGCTCTATCTTCCAAATATTATAACTGCCATCACTGTATAGATGTGCCTGGCATTAAATCTGGGACTTTTCTTATGGAAAGCATAGCCGCAGCTTTATCTTATCTTATATTTCACTTTTCAAATATGCCTATACTGGAAAATGCAGTATCCAGAAAGATTTAAGTCGGGGGTTCTCAAACCTTTTAAACTGCAAAGCCCTTTTTGGAAGCAAGTGTTTCTTGTGGAGCCCTAATAAATGTTTATATATATTATTATATATGATGTGTGTGCGTGTGTGCGTATCTCAGTCATGGTCAAACTAAATTTAACAGTACAGGGTTAGTCAAAATGAATAGGCCAATAAGAAAATTAATTTTAGACGAATGTATGTTTACTGTAACCAAACCACAGCTACGTAGCGACAGATAAACTATCAAAGTTTTTTTTGAGCAACACACATGTACGTTAATGCCGCTAGGCGTCGCTAGGGGTCGCTGTTTTCAAAATGGCGGAATCAAGCAAAGAGAAGGCGTTTTGTGTGATGACATTTGCTAAAACAATGTCAGTAATTACGGTCCAGCGAGAATTTCAAGGGTTAGGGTTAGGGTTAGTTAGGGTTAGGGATAGGGTTAGGGTTAGGGTTAGGGTTAGGACCTCAACGAACACCTTCCCAGACGTTGCTGCATTCGATGCCATTACGTCGGATGTGCTGCAACGGATGTGGAATGAACTGGACTATCGCTTGGACATCTGCCGTGTCACACGGGGCGCCCATATCGAACATCTCTGAAGGTGAGACAAAACTTTGATAGTTTATCTGTCGCTACGTAGCTGTAGTTTGGTTACAATAAACATACATTCGTCTAAAATTAATTTTCTTATTGGCTTATTCATTTTGACTAACCCTGTATTTTACTGGAAGACCATCCAGTCCAACCTCCTTCTACCATGCAGGAAAAGCACACTCAAAGCACCCGCAACAGATGGCCACCCAGCCTTTGTAATAGTAATAGGAGCAACCCCAGTGGCCATCCAGTCCAGCCCTTTTCTGCCATTCAGGAAAACACCCCCTAAGTGGTTGGAGGGAAATAGAATTTTAGAGCAAACAAGGCAAGGGAGAAAGGATCTGGATGATGAGGAAGGTGAGGGAAAAAGGCTTTTGGTGGCAAGGGAGGGGAGAAAAAAACCCTGGGGGTGAGGGAGACAGGAGGGGGGGGGAGCAGGAAAGAGGAGGGAAAACTTTGTAAGGGAGGAGGAGAAGGAAAGTGTGGAGCCCCTTAGTATGGTTCAAGGAGCCCCAAGGCTCTTCAAAGCACACTTTGAGAACTGCTGATTTAAGTTATGCTTACTCGCTAGATTCAGCAAAACCTGAGTCAATCATGACTTAACTAACGTGATTTGGATCTATTACAATTTACTGATTGGAAAACCATTATAGATGGGAAATACACTACAATTTATAAATGTCTTCCTGATAATGAGAGTGTAAATGAAAAAATAATCATTTAAGTATGGTAGCAAGTCTCACAGTTAATAAGCTAATTCTTGCACTTTGCATTTACTTCTTCCCCTCACCCCAGACTGTGAACCAGAAGATGTGACTGACTGGTCTATGGATGAAACATGTTCCTTTTGTAATTTACATAAAGAAACAGTCAGTGTAAGTATCTGTACTATAAAGGCTTGAGCCAATGCTTTCCCATTTCTTATTTGAATTCAAATGATTTGGAATTATTAAATGTCCATGTGCTATTTTTATATAAAAATCCTTCTTGATGATAACTTGTAAATATATGTGCAATATTTCATCATATAATAGTCTCACTTTTTATCCCTTTTTGACAGAAAAATGCTTTGTGACTATTAAGTGATAAAAAACGAGATAGTTTTCTGTATCAGAAAATAATTGATTATTAAACCTCTGTTGAAAACAACTAGAGCAAATGACCAAAAGTATCCAGGAAGATAGATTTACAAATTTTAATCTTTCTTCTTGGAAGACTCTCCCCTTTGTCCTTGCTTTTCATATCTGACACACTGTCTTCGGCAGTGCTCGTGTCAGAGATTTTGTCCTCACTATCACTCTCCTACAGTGCTTCGTCCTCAGATCCATCCAGTATATTTCTTTAAAGTTTTCACAACTTTTTTCTCTGGGATAAGGTCACAACATTTCATTACCCAGTACACATGAGTTCTAAGGATGGGAACTTTGCAGTTCCAGCAGGTGTCAGTTGGTGATCACCACTCATAATCCATTCATTGCACAAGTGGTCTTTAAAGGGCTTGTTCACTGTGGTTGCAGGATAGATGTTAAGCCACCAGGAATGACTTCCTCTTGTGTCTTATTGTCACAGAGAAGTTCCTTCACTTCCTTGACAATGTGACTTTGGCAACTGTCCAAAACTAGCAGAGCTGGCTGTTTCCTTCATGTGCTCAATCTGCCATGAGTTCTAAGTTGATCCGATTCTTTGCCTGCACTCATACATGAATCCCACAGAGAAATTGTACTCCCTCACTCACCTGCTTACACACCTGCCAACTTGCCTGCCTTTCAGGCATGATACTTCCTACAGCTAATTCCAAAAGCACAGCACGGGCAGGTGTGGAGACAACTTGAGTGAATGAAAGAAGTGTCGTGCCTTAAAAGGGATGGGCAGATAAAGCATTTCATTGGGGCGATGAATCAGGGCTGCCGCTATTATGCAAGGAAAGCAAAAATAGTGGTTTTTGGGACTCCCAAAAATTGGGGTGCAACTATTACACTGTATTATCTATTATGTGATGAAATACTGTAAGCTTCTGTTGTTCTCCCTACCCCCCAAGTTAGCTCATATAGCTTTTTGGGATTTCTTTATATTTTCCAGGATCATACAACAGTTATTGGTTCTTTGCAGTCAACACCTACAGAGGAATTATCATCTCAGGGCCAGTCCAACACTGATAAAATTGAGTGCCAAGCAGAGAATTACCTAAATGCACTCTTTCGCAAGAAAGGTGATATTATTTCAATTATAATTGTGGTTATGATACAGAATTTCATTATAGGTAGTCTTTTATTTTCCCTCAATTTTCAGAATGTATGCTTAACCATATTTCATAGTATTGTTTCTTCTTATAGACTTTTCTTGTCCTTTATTCTGTTCATTGTATGTTCTGTTTGTCAACTTAGTAAGGATCAGCCCATTTTTCCCATTCATTTTTGTCTTTCAATGTGTTTTACATTGGGAGCTTGCTGATTTCAGTGTATTAAGGGATATAACTTGGACTTTTGCCTGACATAGCTTGTTGCACTTTAAAGATCCTAATTTGTGCTGTGGCACTCATTGGCAGTATGTTTTTTTTTAGTTACTGCAGCTTCAAGATCCCCTTGAAGCTGCATTAAATGGTCAGTGTAGATGTGCGTTTTGGACTCTTCTGCTGAGTACATTCCCTCCAGAATTTGTCACCTTTCAATATGTCTTTCGTTCTCATATTTATTCATTGTTTCTCATCTCTTTTTTACTCATAAAGAGTTCATTTAATAACAAAATATGTTTAATATAGACAGAACAGTTCTGAACAAATGAACACAAAGATTTAGGTGTTAAATGCTTCAGGTTACATGGGCACTTTCCAAGGAAGTTTCTTAGCTACAATGTGAAATATTACTGAAATATTTATATTCTGTATCTAAAATCTCAGACTGTCATACAAACATAATGTGATTGCAAAATTGTGTGTGTGCGTGAAACTGCAAAATCTATACAATACAGACCGTGCATTTGTTTTAGTAGAGATATAGAAATTGCCATCAGTTGCAGGGATCCATTTAAGCTGCAAGGACCTACAGGTATAATGATCTCCTTACCTTCCAGTATCATCTTCGTAATTCTCATATCTGATATTAACTGTGTGTTTCTTGCTATTTTTGCGAAACTCTTTGATTTTAATCTTTCATTTCAATCTGGTCTGATGTGGGTGAAAGATATTCTCTTATCTTTTTTTCTTATTGTGTACTGCAAACCCATTTTGGGGGGAAAGCGTCTTTGAAAGGAGAGTGGTTAATATGTTAAGTGGCATTGAACTAGATTACATTTTGACCCTCAGACACAATTCTTCAGGCAAAAATATTTGGAATCACATAAAGATGAAACACATATTTACCTAATCAGATTAAAACGTTGGGCCACAATTAGGTTTTTTAAAAACAATTTTGAAATTATTCCTGTAAGCAAAAATTATACATATCTGTGTTAAAACCGAACTTGTTATGTTTTTTATTTTAAACTCGAATTCTAAAATATGTATGCTCTGTTGGGATCTTAGACTTGAGAATGTTGTTTAATTAGGCAAGTAAACCAACAGACAGCTACAACTGCATATAAAGTGGTTATAAATAATACACAGGACATTAAGTCTGTACTATATGTAATAATTCCTATTTGGTTACACTTCCATATAAATATAAATCTCAGTAAATACATTTTGGTTAAAGTCAGGGATTGGACTACTTCCTCAGTGTTGCAGTGCATTGTTCCGTGCATTTTTCCAATGGAAGGGGCAGAATGTAGCAGATTTTTAAATGAAAATAATAAAATTGATGATGTTATTTATGCCATTATTAATAATTTGAAGGTCAGCCATGCTTAAAGAATTAGTTTTTGCAAAGATAAACTTCAATAATAACAAACATAATCCCCACAGCTCTGGTTTAAAAAGTTGCAGGGGAGAGGAAACCTTTTGAGATTTCCAAATGTGGCCTACAAGATCTCTCTTTCAGGATCCACCCACTAAACTCCTGTATGTAGGTATTTCCTGTAGTGCCAGTAAGAAAGAGATCTGCTCCTTCTGTATAAGGGGAAAGGTATACATGAAGTAGTCAATATTCCATTGGGTAAACAGGTACTTCATGTACATTTCTTATCTGTTTTCTCCCCACAGATCTTCCTCAGAACTGTGATCCTAACATTCCCCTAGTTGCTCAGGAATTAATGAAAAAGATGATTCGTCAATTTGCAATTGAATACATTTCAAAAAGCAGTAAAATGCAAGAAAATAGAAACGGTTCATCATATGATATGAGTCTGATACGCAAAGATATTCAAATCAACCAAACAGAAAATTCACTTCAGGAAGAACAGGATAGCCCTCTAGACCTCACTGTGAATCGAACTCAAGAGCAGGATACTCAGCAAGGTAATTTTTTTATTATGCATTTTCATCAGCCGCACTTACACTGTAGAATGACTTGCCGGAAAGGATTCAACAGCTAAACAAGTTGCCAGACTTTAAAACATTCCAGCAGGTCTACCCAATTAATTTTAAACTATAAATTTTAAATTGCATGATTTTAATCTTCGCTCTATGTCTTTTAATATATGTATTTTAGTGGTTTTATGTCTTATCTATTATGTACTACAACTTTGTTGTACCCTGCCAAAAGCCTTGAGGGGAGACCAGTAACAAAATTTGTGATGATGATGATGGTATCTTGTTTGTGAGGTACCTTTTCCCCACTGAAGTAAGCAGTTCTTACTCAACTGAAAAATAGAAACAGTACCACTTGTTCCCTTCTGATATCTTGTCATACCACAACACTATGTCAGCACTAACAATAGTACCATTTTCATTGCTGGCAATGTTATGAATACTTAGAAAATTGATTACCTAAAATGACATCAAGACCACCGCTGCTGCAGTCAGAGCAGAGCTAGAAATATATTCTATCGAAGGACTTGCTAAAATCAAGGCCTTTAACTACTGGTCTAAAATAAGAAACCTCAAAAACAATAGACTTCCAAAATTGTGCTTTTTAGAACACTCTAATGACCAAAACCAAGCTTCCTGGTCAGAACAATTAACAAGATTCCTCCGCACCTGTGGATTACAAATTGCCTCCTTAGGCCAGAATAGAGATGCTGAAAAAAGGACAGTAACTCAAAGGATCCTAGATATTGAAGCCCAGAAAGAAATAGCCACCCTGTCAAACACAGGATCCCTGAAGTGGTTAGGGCGTTTTAAACATCACTTCCAGAGGGCGCCATACCTAAAAGCTGACATGCCAAGACACCTAAGAACCACTTTTACCAGGACAAGATTCGAACAAATTGAATCCATGGAGAGACACGTTAGATTCAATCATATCCCATACGAGGAAAGGCTATGTATCTGTGGTGCCCCTGAAGTCGAAAATCTGGACCACACTTTACATCAATGCAATCTATATGAAAAAGAAAGGAAACAATTCTTATGGCCTTTTATTTGCAATAAAACAAGTTGGGATACAGCAGCCAAAACTTCATTTCTGTTGGCTGGTTATAATCCCATTCTGACAACACACGTTGCCCTTTATCTGTTTAAAGCTGCTAAAAGGAGGTCAGAGTACATAGATCAGATTGGGGTGCAGTGTAGGGGAGACGAGGATAGTTGATGCATATATTTATGGCTACCTGTATATTTGTATTTTATTTTAAGAGGACTAGATGTATGTTGTGTGTTATGTCTACATTGTTTGTTTTTGATAAGGCCAGTTGGCTAATCAATAAAATTGTTGTTGTTGTTACCTAAAATGGTGCATATTTATTTCCTTTCTGTAAGGGATAAAATAATAGGTTTAAGCTTCTTTCCTTGTGATGTTATGATAAATCTCTCTAAGCTTGTTTTATGTTACTCATTTTCTTGGTAACAGAATACAGATGCAGTACCAAGTAAAAACAGGTCTTGATCCCCTCGCTAGCAGAAGAACTTCCCCAGTATTTTTTTCACATATTTCTTGAACAAAGGTTAAAAAAAATCTGCTCTAAAATGACAATAATTATTTCTAGAAATAATTATTTCTAGTGGTTGCAGAGGGCATTTCCATGCGTTTGAATGTTCTGAAGGGAACTCCTATGTGATTACTGAATAAGATGATAAGTTGAGAAAGAGATATTTCTTTTGTATTGAATATATTACTTTATAGTTATTAACATTTTGAGGTAGAGAGGGAATTTGGATCTTTATACTGTTGGCTCTATGTAGAATGAGTATCCTAGACCATACATTTTGGCTTGGTCTACACATGCAACTGAAAGAGAAATACGTAGCAGAATGGACTCTAGCAGATTGGAAAATACTTCTTTATGTAGAAGTATACATTTAGTGTAGTAGGGACCTTTGGAACATAATTACGTTCTCATGTTGTGCTGTGTTTTTGCTTGCTCTGAGTGAGCATGCAAAGGTGGCATTCTGTTCCTGCAAAGTGCCATGATACTGTACATTTTGCAACCACAGAAATCTGTTTATTTTATTGCATATATAAATTAGGTCTTTTATATAAAGCATTGGGAACACAAGTTGGCTTTGGTCCTGACTACATTGCAATAATTCATTCAAAATGCCTGGTGTGTCAATTCATGTGAACCCCATGAATTTTATAGGGTGTTATTAAGCAAGGAGTACTCCATGGTGTTTTCCTTCCTATGAAATATTTCCTACACCACCTGATATTTCTTGGCAGTCTCCCATCAAAGTGTTAACTTGGGGTGATCTTGCTTAGCTTCCAAGATCTGGTATCTGGTATCTTTGGAGTACCTGTTATGCATATATGCTACCTCATGATCTTCATCAGGTTTTCTAAGGTAAGGAATACTCAGAGGTAGCTTTAACAGTTCTTTCCTCTGTAATATAGTTTACAGTATCTGGTATTTGTTGGCAGTCTACCATTCAAGTTCTAAACACGTAATATAATAAGATTATTAATAATCGCTTTGGCCATAACTTCATAACCACAGATGTATTAACATCAATATCTGGTCATATTCATCAATAAAGGTTGATTAATATTGCCTGTTTATTTATTTATTTATTTATTTACTGTATTTGTATACTGCCCCTCTCAGCCCGCAGGTAACTCAGGGCTGTTAACAGAGGCAACAATTCAATGCCCAACAACAGCATAAAACATTTAAAAAACATTGACATGTAATATAAAACCATAGCAAGATCAATTAAAAACATAAATCATATGTGTCTCTTAATTAAAAACGTCCATCAAAAATCGTATGTGTCTCTTAATTATAAACTAGATCATCCAAGTAACCTCACAATTACATATCTGCATTTTTGTAAAGTCAAGGAATATGTTTACAAAAAAATCCTTTAAAATGAATTTTGCTGCTACAAAGGAAAGCCATTTTTTAAATAACCTTTACATTTTCTGGTATAATAGGGGATGAAGTGCTAGATCTCTCTACAAAGAAAGCAAGCTTGGAACAGTCAGCATATGATGGATCATGTTCTGAAAATTCAGTGTTTGGGTAAGTAACATACAGTATTCTTGTATATTTTAAACATAATAAATGACAATAAGAGTTACATTTGAAGAAATATATTGTTGTTTTTGATTTGTGTAAAGTATGTGTTGACACACAATTACCTCTTGCTTTGCCAGAGTTTATCTCATAATTCTGTGTTTGTGTATAACTCATGTGTTTCATTTTGTGTTTTTCACTTTTTCTGTTAAAGAAAAGTTATCAGAACAATCACCAAACTTTAGTTCATGTTACAAAAATTGAATTGACTATTTTGTACTTAATAGAACTGAGAAACTAGGGAGCAGAGAAAAAATATTCTCCATAATGCAGTAACTTACTAATTGAGGTGGTGGAAAATATTTACATTTTACTAGAGTTTTTGAGTTAGAAAGATTTTTTTTTAAGCTGTGAACTTTTTCCCCTTTAAAAAAGAGATCTCTTGATGGCTATTCTTTCATTTTGAATCTACTTTTGGAATGTGGTGTCATGTTGCTAAGATCTCCATTCATGAATAGATACTTAGTGCCCTGATATGTAGTCTTTACTTAAATAATGTTATAATTTTGGCAATCTTCCACTCATAGTAAGTTTTTTTGTTAGTTTTGTAGTTTGCATTTTTGTAATGCAAGTAACAGTCCAAAGCATTATTCTTTGACCCAAATCATATATATATAAATATTATATGTATATATATATATACATACACTCATATACATATATAATATATATATATATTTACACTCTCACACATATTCACTGTATTATGGGGGAAACCCCTGACATTCTAATTAGATATGAACTAAACCGACATTCTAATTAGATATGAACTAAACAACACGAGGATTTAATTGTAAACTTGAAATAATAGTTGGATATCTAAGATAGTTTATATTAGAATGACAACAAAGTTTATGTGAGGGGGTTGACTCTTTTATTACTTGTTTAGCGGTAACGTCACGTTTCTACTAACAAAAACTCCATTAGGGCATTGGGCATTCAGAGGATGTTAAATTGTGAAAATGAAAGTTTTAACTGTTACCCTGCAAACATCTGTCAAAATGGAATTGCAAGCATTTGAGAGAGTTATCTGATACTGAGCTGAGATATAAAGTTCTTGGAAGGGCTGCTGTAGAAGCTGGGGTATTATTTTGGCGCATGGTCCTACCAGAACTGTAACTTTTGCTATGGTAATCAATAGCTACAGCAACTCAAAGACTTAAAACTATCAGAAGCAGTGATGTTACCTAAGCAAGGAGTATAATAAAGGAGTGGACCCTTCCCTTCCATAGCTGTCTGAGAGTCTCTCATGCATCAGTTCACCATCGTTTCATTCCATCCATCCAGGAGACACCACAGACACAGAGAGGACTATGTGGAAAGAAGTGCTGAGTTTGCAGATGGTTTGCTCTCAAAAGCGTTGAAAGACATTCAGTCCGGAGCACTGGACATTAATAAAGCAGGCATACTTTATGGCATACCTCAAAAAACTTTACTTCTCCACTTAGAAGCCTTACCAGCAGGAAAGCCTGCATCTTTTAAAAACAAAACTCGGGATTTCAGTGACAGTTATTCTTACAAAGACAGTAAAGAAACATGTGCAGTGCTGCAAAAAGTCGCCTTGTGGGCAAAAGCTCAAGCAGAGCGCACAGAAAAAAGTAAACTCACTCTACTTGAAACCTCAGAATTAAGATTCCCAACAGCTTCCAGTTACCTCCACCAGTTAACTCTACAAAGAATGGTCACTCAGTTTAAAGAAAAAAATGAAACTGTACAATATGGAACATCAGGTCCAACTGTACAGTTAAAAATTCCTCAGCTGAGAATTAGCACTGTTCCCAAACAACAGCCTGATAGTGCTGGACTTCTGGATGTTATGTACCATGTTTCTAAAACCTCAACAGTCTTAGAAGGATCAGCTCTTCAAAAACTGAAAAGTATACTTCCTAAACAGAACAAAATTGAATGTTCTGCATCTGTAACTCAGTCAAGTGTCGACTCCTACTTTCTGCATGGGGACCTCTCTCCTTTGTGTCTTAATACTAAGAATGGAATTATAGACGGCACCTCTGAATCCACGGAAGACGGTTTGGATCGCAAGGATAATAAACAACCAAGAAAAAAACGTGGCCGCTACCGGCAATATGATCATGAAATTATGGAAGAAGCTATCACAATGGTAATGAGTGGGAAAATGAGTGTTTCCAAAGCACAAGGAATATATGGGGTACCTCACAGCACTTTAGAGTACAAAGTTAAAGAAAGATCTGGAACACTGAAGACTCCACCGAAGAAGAAGCTCCGCTTAGACACTGGGTTGTTTAATATAACAGATTCAGGGACTGGCACCTGCAAAAATAGCAGCAAGCCAATGTAGTTTAACTGGTTAGATGTGTGTGTGTGCTTGCGTGTGTGTGTTGTTCATTGTGTGTGTGTGTGTGTGCACTTGCATGTGCACACATGTGTGTAAACATACACACATGAAAAACAAATGTTCACTTAGACAGGAGACATGAAATTTTACAGTCCAGAAACCACATACATGCCTTTTTGAAGAATAATTTTATTCAGGGTTTTCACTGTGGACAAAATGATAGAATTGATCACAATTGTGATTGTTTGTATTTAATATAACTCTTGTACAAATAAGTGAAAAAAATTCAGGTTTAATTTAGTAGTCATGAGCATAAAATGTTTGGAATAACATGTATTTGTTATGTGAAGCATTATTTTTATTGATGAAGAGTGACCCTAACCTTTCGATAATCCATCTTATTAAGGAAATACATGATTAATGCTTTAGAGACATTTATGCCTCTCAGAATATTTTCAGAAGTCTCAAGTAACTGAAAATATATCAATCAAGGGAACCTTAAAGAGGATAATGGTAGTTTCTTAACATGGAAACTACTTGTAGCATGAAGTATTAGTAAAGTGCAGAATCTGTAATGGAGGAGAAAGTACATTAAAGTTTAACATCTGATATAGATAAAGCATTTCAGTTTTCAAAGCGTGTGTTAGATATACAACTGAGGTCTTATCATTTTATTGTTGGTTTAGCAAGAAATTTGGTGTTTACAACATATATACTTGTGAAAACTGACAAATTTAGTGTAGCTATAGAATAATTATTAAATAAGATGGAATACTAAAGGCATAAAAATGTAACTGTTTTCCTTTAGTGGGGAAAATAAGCTAACGTGTAAGGGTTTAAGATGAAAGTTGGAATGCAGATTAGAGCATGTTCATAATGTGCACAGAATGAGCTTGAGAATGGTTATTTTGGTTTAAGTGTGCTGGTTAGTTGATGTTATGACTACTTACATTTATTTAAGGATTGTGTAACACTCCTGTTGAAAAACCTCAGTATAACAGTAATGTATTTGCTGCTGTGACGTTTCAAAACTTTCAGTTTATCAAAATGAATATCAGGTTTTCATTTTGGTGGGCCGACGCATCATCACTTTGCTAATAACCAAATTTTACAGTTCAGGGTCTTGATAGATTTACAGATACAAACAGGGAAACTGTTTTGAACTTTCAGTACTATAATTTTTTGTATATTTGCTATTTGGAAACTGGACAGTTCATTTTAGATATATAACTTTTCAAAGAATCTCAGAGGACCAGTTATCTTTAGATGACAGTTTTTAAATAACTTCAGAAGTATTCATGTTCGCATGATCTTCTAAAGATACTCAAAGGGTTATGTTGCTCTGTTCCCTTCTATCATCAATATGCAGACTGTGCACCCGGGCAGTCTGGGGCCATAGAAAGTCTGTATGTAATCCAAATCCCATCCTCTGTTTAGTCACATTATGCAAACTCCATATTTCATGTACCTCTGAGGGGGAAGCAGTTCTAGATCCTGAAAGTTGCTTATTTGATAAGTTCTTTTGCATACTTTTGAGCCATGGGATGAAGGAATGCAAGAGAGTTTTCAACCCCTGTGAGGATACATTTGTATGTGGACACTAAGGGAAGTATCATACCCATTACTTAACTTGGATATACAATCATATTACATACACAGTGGAATTAAGGCATCCATGCCTCTTTTTATTGAAAACTACTTTCTTTTTTTAAAAAAATTGGAAAATTACAATATTAGAATCTTTATCTGTTTTACCTATATGGTTGTTATCCAACCCATGTAGCATACATTTGCTAAAAGATTGCATAATTTAGTATATAATTTGCATATAATGTTTTTAAACTACACCATTTAACTTATTTGATTCATTGTTATTGAGTTAACAATGAACTCGATAAACACTCAGTCCTTACTGATTTTTACAAATTGAAGGCACTTACAAAATAAAGATTAACACTATGACAGTCAACACATCTACTGTTTGCCTTGTTAGATATGCATTCAATTTTTTGCTCATTTGCATATTGGGAAGCAAATCATTATAAACCAAGATTTTCATTAGATTGCTGACACTGTTAAATATTAAATGTCAAGGTCATCTTTAATTTTTTTAAAAACAAAGCCATATTTTTGTCAGAATTCAAAATATTAATTTGTTGCATTTTTCCCCAATAGTAAACAAGATTACAAATCTCAATACTTTTTCAATAACACTTTATTCCTGTTTTTAATTTATGGCTTAAAAGCATGGGCTGGGATCCAAAGGGACATTGTACAAACATACCATCTTTTGCATTCCTCTTCTTACCTTGTGTCCTCAGTTACGTTGAGCAAGGGATAGAGGTGTGTGGCTTTGCCACTCATGCTGGTGGGAGGCTGAAATCTCAGCTTTTGGAAATTTTGTCAGACAACATTACATTTTAGCCAGAAATGTATATCAAAGACAAGTTACAGAACACATTTAATATCATTTAAAAGATGGCCTGACCAAAAATAACAGATTCATAAAATCAGGGATCATTTTGCTATTGACTTTAGCAGTGGTAGTTTTGTATGTAATATTATAATTAATTTTCAGCATTTTAGTACTTGTATTTATTTTTTGCCAGAAATAGTATATTAAACTATTTTT